CCTTCTATCAACCATCCTACTATAACATTAGAACCAGTCACTCTTATTTTAACAGCTAGAGGAACACCAACCAAAATGTCAGGACGTCGGTTAGTAACTGTCCTCTGAATTGGACAACGGTAAAATCCCATGACCTACAGTCAGAATGTCAACGTCCCCAAATATGAAGGACTCAGTTTAATCAGATAGGCCCACCTGGAAGACTTGACATGAGTCAATGTTTATTCTTTGTGGAAACCATCGATAAATATATTTTCAATATTGTTGAAAACATTTTCTTTGGAACTCCACTCAGTCTATACTTCAATGAACTACTAAATAGCAAGTTTAAAGATATGCTCAGTGAAAGATACCATAGACCAGCAGCCAGTTGATAATTTACATCTAAAAATGTCAAAGTGTTTGATGAAAGTCATCTTTTAAAGCTGATTTCATTTAAAATATGAAGTCGTCGAGACTTGCTCAGTCAGTTTCGCGATAATATTATTATAAATATATGCGGCAATATGACATTAATCACTGATATAATATGATCACATGTATATATCACAGGGGAGGATCAAAGACGGTATCTGTACCAAAATTTATTCCTTGAATCACAAACCACAGGGTGTTACTTTTTAAACATCTAATGTGCTTGGAGGAAGTTTTGCACCTAATTTTTGATGTGTGTAAGTGAGGTGGCTAACGTCATTTTTTGTGGCTCTTGTTTTTCAACAAGTGAGCCTTTGCTTCTTGATCCATTTTAACTAATTTTCCAATTTAGCAGCTTTCACGGCTTTCCTCCAAGCCCCTCTGAGGCTATAAAGCCTCCCTGCTTGCTCTATATTGCTTCAGTCAAGGAGACTGATAGAAGCTCTGCTCCCCTGAGAGAGTCAGTGTGCACTTTCAGACCCCCCCCATCTCACAAAGCACCATATTGTTATTGAAATAGGAGATGGTTATCTTTCTCTTTCCTACTCTCATTTTGCTCAGTCTTGGGCACACTTACTATGATAATGATGTGATCGTATCACAGTGTCAAGCTGAAGCTAATGATGACAAAGAAGGTTGGTGTCTTTTTTTTTCAAGCAAATTCTTTGTCTTTTTATGCGGTATTGCAATAAATTCATGATATTGCGTTCTTGTTTGTATTTGTCCATATGTTAAAGCATAACCAGGCTTCCAATAAAGTGTAATACCTTTTAGTTATATCCTTTATAGTTCTTTTTTTCAAATATGAAACATAGAGCCCCTGAAAAGCTAAAACCAGAAACATACTAAAAACTAATCATGAATGGCTGTGACTTATCAGATTATCACATGAAAAAGGAGAAATCCTTAATCGTAATGTAATGTTTAGTTCTTGTTTGAGTTACATCTAAGGAAAAGCAGTTGATTGCATGGACTCATTGACTCTAAGGCAATCCCTCACACCAAGCATGCTTGTAGCGACAGTGGAGAGGATTCAGGTGCTTGTTTAATCACTTTGAATAGAAACATTTTTGTTGTTGTTGGCGAAGGATCTTGTTCTCTTCATTCTGTTCAAGGTGTTTTTACTCCTTAGCAACATTTTCTTTAGTTCTGTTAATTCTGTGCATCCACCAGTTCATAGTCATTAAATAATCTGGATGGGTCCATTTAATCATAAGCCCTTTTAGCTATAATGTTCTAAATCAGCTGATCTGTTGGGGATGATCATCTTATGTCATGAACATATTTGGTTTCAAGCCTAATTGTTTAGATTTCAGTCTTTATTATTTTGACAGATCATTTGGGACTCGGAGGTTGAAGTTGAAGCGATTCTGGTCTGCCATCCGGCGTCTCAGGAGGGGGAAGCAGTGCAGCACCAACACTGTTTATAGTGGGGATGGTGTGCTGCTGACCTCGACTCGGGACGTTGTGGGTCGGTGGGCGGAATACTTC